GTTGTCATTTGCAGGACATGAATTAAGCTGGAGAACATTATGTTAAGTGAAATAGACCAAGCACAGAAAGACAAACACCACACTCTCACTAATACCTGAAATCTACAAAAGCAAGTCTCACAGAAACAGAGCCAATGCTGGCTACCAGGAGCTAGGATGGTTGGGGGAGAAGGCTGGGCAGATTCTGGACAATTATTTGAAAGGCAGAAAGACAGAGTCCGACAGACAAAGACTTCCCATTTGGTTCACTCCCCAAGTGCTCATGACTCACACCATTACACCAGGCCAAAGCCAGGAGCCCAGAACTCAGCAAGGGTCTCCCACATGGTTGGCAAGGACCAAACTACTTCCCATGAAGCAGGAAGCTGGAACTGGAACTAGAGTTGGGACTTTAACCAAGGCACTCTGATAGGAGATGCGAATGCCCCAAGTAGTGTTTTAATTGCTACACCAAACACCCACCCTATGTTTCAAAGTAGATAACATCAGACAACAGTTCTATTACAAGCAGGCAGGTAAACTCTGTAAGCATGAGCAACAACACTCTCAAAATGGGGCCAGCACTGTGGTGCAGCAGGGTGAAGCCCTGGCTGGCAGTGCCAGCATCCCATCTGGGCACCGGTTTGAGTCTCAGCTGCTCCACTTCTGATCAAGCTCCCTGCTAATGTGTCTGGGACAGCACCTGAGGATGGCCCAAGTCCTTTGACCTCTGTACCCACGCGGGAGACCCAGAAGAAGCTCCTGGCTCCTGATTTCAGATCAGCTCAGCTCCAGTCTTTGCGGCCTTTGCTGGGATTAAACTAGCAGAAGGAAGACCTTTCTTTCTCTGTCTCTACCTCTCTCTCTAACTCTGTCAAATAAATAAAATAAATCTTTAAAAAAATCTCAAAATGACAAGACTTGAAAAAAATAAAGAGCTACCATACCACTTAGAGTCAGTAGCAAATCTGCTATAACACATTTTCTATAGTTCCTGAATGCTGAGGGTGACACGGGGAGTCTGGTGTTACCCCTGGATGTGAGGGTGACATGGGGAGTCTGGTGTTACACGTACGTGATTAATGAGACAGGAGAGTGGGAATCACAGACTCTGGGATGAAGGGTAATAACCAGCCTTCCAGGCAATTCTGATGTAGCTATGTTTGAGAAAACCTGGCCTTACATGGCTACTTCTTCTGACCACAAATTGAAATACCTAACACAAACATCAATACTTGCATGCAAGCTCGCATTTTGCTTCTGAATATGACTTACTCAGTTACCAGCAAAGTCATGGTTTGTGTCTTGATCCTCAAACAGAATATTGGCATGAAACAAACAAACAAACAAACAAACAAAAACCTTGTAATTCCTGAAGGAACAGACGGGTCCAGAGTTAGATGAGCCATTTCGTAAGTTGAAAGATATTTGGAAATGAATTAACTATCATTATTTTTAAAACATCAATTCACAAAATTACTTGGTTCATCACTGTGCATTAACAGTTAAAGCCGCCTCCTGCTGTGCCGCCTCCTATATGGGCACCATTTCAAGACCCAGCTGCTCCACTTTCAATCCAGCTCTCTGCTGTGGCCTGGGAAAGCAGTAGAAGATGGCCCAGGTCCTTGGGCCCCTGCACCCGCATGGGAGACCCAAAAGAAACTCCTGATTCCTGACTTCACATTGGATTAGCTTCTGCCATTGTAGCATTTTGGGGAGTGAACTAGTAGATGGAAGATTCTCTCTCTCTCTCTTTCTCTCTCTCTCTCTCTCTCTCTCTCTCTCTTCCTGCCTCTGCATAACTCTGCCTTTCAAATAATTATGTACATCTTTTTTTTAAAAATTTATATACTGAAACTCTAACCTCCAATGGGAATATATTTAGAGATAAGGTCTTTAAGGGAGGCAATTAAGGATAAATGAGGGTGGGGTTCAAATCCTGTAGGACTGGCATCTTCATATGAAGATTAAGAGGTTCTGGAGCTCTGTGTCTGTGTGCACTCAAGGGGAGAACCGTGAGGACACAGTGAGAAAGGGGTTTCCCAGAAGCCAGCGAGGACCCTCCCTACCCAACCTGGTAGGCACCACGATCTTGGGCATCCAGCTTCCAGTACTGTAAGAAAACAAATCTCTGTTGTTTAAGCCACCAGGCTGGGATTTTGTAATGGAAGCCTGAGCAGACTAGCACAGACAGAAACTTTAAGAATGAGTCAAATATAAATACAACCAAGGGAGGAGGGAAAAAAAAAGCCTGCTCAGAGAGATAGTGTTTAACAGATTCAAGACAGCCAATGAAATAGCCACTCTCTGAAGACAGCTCGGTTCAATTTACTCACACTTAAACTGAAAAAGAGTAGCAAAAAATGGAATAACCAAAAGATAATATCCAACAACCCAGTACATGTGTAATTCCATCCCAGAAGAGATACAATCAGAAGAATTGTGTGAAGAAATAATGATTGGGAACTTTCAAAACTATATGATCCTTAAGTACACTGAAAATAGATCTTTGTAAAAAGTAAGAGTGGGAATGTGGGAGGCAGGAGGGTTGGAGCATGGGCAGGAGGGAGAGTCGGGGGGAGGGGGGGAGTATCACTATGTTCCTAAATCTGTAAATAGGAAATACATGGAACTTGCATAACTTAAAGTTAAAAAAATTTTAAAATAAATAAAATCTTAATTACAGATACCACAATACAGATGCCAGAAGAAAATCAGAGGATTCGGAGAAGGGTAAATGCTATGAGCTCTGTACACACACACAGAGGCACACACACACATATGCACAATACATGCCCCTAGACACAATATATTCCAACTGGGGACAAAATAATAATTTGAAGACAGTCATAGAAAAAAGATCATTACTTATACTGGAATACATATAAAATTTACAACAGAATCATAAGAATCTATGAAACCTAGGAAAATATGGAATCAGGTGTTAAAGTGAAGACAGGAAAATTAACTTGTCATCCTGGAATTCTACACCTAATGAAACTATCTTTCAAATGTGATTCTGTACATACTCTATAAAATCTATAAGGAAGTTCTTCAGCGAGAAGCAATATGATACCAAAGTCTACAGAAAGAAATGTCTTCAGGAAAATCTGTTTTTCCAACTTCCTTACCAAACTGTATTGGAGAAAAGTATACAGTCTCTATATTTCAGCCCAAAAGGTTCAGAGACTTACTCTCTCAGTCAGGACCTTGGACAGGACTGGAAGGCAGCCTGGAGCTCCTACCAGGTTTCCTCCCAGCGTCCAGTGTGCCTGAAATGAATTCTAGAATGTCACTGACAGATGGCAACCTGAAGGAATTCCACAGAAGGAAGGCAAATATCTAGGTGACTGTCTTGGATTTTTTTGTAATGTTGTGTATATGTAAATAAGTCTTTTTCATTGGGCAAACAAGCAAGTTTGTGGAAGAGAATGACAAAACAGGGAATTTTTAAATTAACCTAGACTGGTCCAGTGAACTACCTTGGATTGTTAGATTCATCTCTAAGACAACTGTTTTTTATTATAGTGCCTGCCAGACTCTATTCTGATTCTTGCTAGCTGACACTCTTCCTGCTTCTAAAAACAGCCATTTGGCAAAAATTATTGAAATTTCTATATTGTTATGATTTTATTTCTTTACATTAAACTCTTCAAGCGTGGTCTAGCCTATAATGATTTACTATCAGAAGAACCAGGCCAGAATGCAATACTCATAGGGTGCAGAAAAGATGACAAACATTATATTCATATTGGAGTTACTCCTGCAGAGTAGTACACTGGGAGAAATTGAAGGATAGCAGTATCCACCTATAGAGGAAAATGCATTCTGCATAGCCAACCATATACGAACCACAATACAAAATTTATCTTATTATAAAAAACATGCAGGGGCCAGCACTGTGGCATAGTGGGTAAAGCCATCGCCTGCAGTGCCAGCATCCCATATGGGTACCGGTTGCGTTCTGCCTGCTCCACTTCCAATCCAGCTCTTTGCTATGGCCTGGGAAAGCAGCAGAAGATGGTCCAAGTTCTTGGGCCCCTGCACCCACGTGGGAAACCCAGAAGATGCTCCTGGCTCCTGGCTTCGGATTGGCACAGCTCTGGCCCTTGCAGCCAATTAGGGAGTGAACCAGCAGTTGGAAGGCCTCTTTCTCCTTCTCTCTCTCTGCCTCTCATTCTCTTCTGTGTAACTCTGATTTTCAAATAAATAAATAATTCTTTTAAAAAAATGCATGGTTCATAAATGAATCATACAGAACTGACAGATCTAGTAGGGTTGTTTTGCTTTTACTTGTGAAAGTTTTTATTTGAGCATTAAACCTTTGACTGTAATGTAAATTAAAAATATTCTATAACAAAAATAAAAGGAAGGAAGAAAGGAAAGAAGGAAGGAGGGAAGCAAAGAAGGTGGAGGAAGTAAGGAGGAAGAGAAGAAGAGAGAGGTAGGAAGAAGAAGATATATTAGAATTGTATCTATAAACTATATTCAATCTGGCAAAAACTAAATATAAAAAATAAAAAATACATACAAAAAGCACAAGTGAACTTCAAAAAGTTCATGAAAAGTAGAATTAAAAGATAAGCTTATGTGGTATAAACATTTTAAAAATCTATGCATAGGTCTTTTTTTCATAATATGCATGTTCCATGAACTTTGTGAAACCCTGCCCCTCATATCTGCATTGTGTTTAAGTGACTGATAATTCTACTGTCTTCTTGCTGAATTTCTGAATTTTGCCCCTTTTTATTTCCCCATCTGGAAACATCATGAAACACTGGGAAGAAGAGCCTACCCCTTTTGCTAATGCTATTTAAAGCACCCAGGATAAGAGTCCAAGAGCAGAACAATGTGGCTGCCACCTTGATCTAAGAAATCAAGGATCTGTTTCATGTAAGCAGGAAAATCTTTTCCATCTGCCAACTAGTCCCGCTGAGTTCAGTAAGCACTCACGTTACTCCCAGGTGCTCGTTACGGACGACGCGGGCAGTCAGCTTCACTGACACGATGTGCTCACTTACTAGTTTGATGCGGTGACCGGGAGTGGCACTGATCTCCCACGTGCACTCCTTCCTACTCGGGTACTTGTCTGGCCAATTGGGACTGGTGATGAGGCCACTTGGACTGTGGATCTTCTGCTCACACTCAGCTGTGCCAACAACAATAACATCAGTCAGTGTGCAGCTCTCACCCCAGACCAGACCAGAAAGCAAGCATCAATTGCACTCCACCCTGTTGAAAGATCTGGAACACTGGTTGGTCATCATTCCAGTCTCTGTTATCACGCCCATCTACTTTGACAAACACCTTGCTGGACACGACCAAGCAGTCTTTGTGGTCTGACTCAGGAAACTGAGTGTTTTCCCGTGAATCAGACAATTGCTGGGTCTGTAGGCCCAGACATTAATACAGCAGCATATATTCACAATCAAGAATATCAACACTGGGTAAGGACACAATATTTAATGCAACACCACAAATAAAAATCAGTGGACTATGCTATTTTCACTTCTTTTCTTTTTCTAATGAACAGAAACATCATTTACAGCTAATTAACATCATTAAGGCACTTTATGAATCATGTATTTACATCTTTCCTCTCCCTTAGTTAATTATATATTTGAATACTCTAAGCCATAATTTTAGCTGTTAAAACAATCTAACTCTAATTTCATGGAAGAAAAATGAAGCACTAATGAGAAAAATAAGTGAACAGCTACTAGTCCTGGAGAAAACTTCTGAACTAACTTTGAAGAACAGCTCGTTCCATTAACATGGAATTTCATTGTAAGTTTCATAATTTAAATAACCTTGTTCCACATGGTTAGTATCAAATTTCCAATTTTTTTCCACTTGAGAAGCAGACAGACAAGGAAGTAGAGAACTCTCTTCTGCTAATTCTCTCTCCAAATGCCCACAATAGTCATGACTGGGCCAGGCTGATGCCAGGAGCTAAGAATTCAATCCAGGTTTCCCACGTAGATGGCAAGAACCCAACTACTTAGGCCATCATTTCTGCCTTTTGAGGGTCTGCATTTAGAAAGTCAGAATTAGAAGCAAGAGCCAGGACATGAACCCAGGCTCCAAAGTAGTTCACAGTTACCTTAAGGGCTAGCCCCAATGCCTGCCTCAAATTTCAAATTTGCTTCATATCTCTGGGCCATGTTCATTGCACACAGTTGGTTCTCAATCTATTGATTTAATAGCATACCTTACCCAATTACAAATATCATACAGGAAAAAGAAAAAAAATCTCTAGATGCATATGATTAAAAAAATCTTTGAAATTTTCTAGGGCTTGGGGACAATATCTGGTAGACTCCTGCTGTGCCACTAGTATGCTTTCTTTGGCTAAGACCATGACATAACACTTTAAATGACACAATACCTACCATTTTCAAATGTTTTTCCTTTGGCAGGCATTTGAATTTGATACTCCTGATATTTAAAAGGACATCACTTACATAGCACATACACGAGATACTTTGGGGTGGGATATTACACCAAATGCAAAACATTTAGCACAGTTGAGATTAAATATGGATAGTGCTGCAAGGCCTTTTCTACAAAGACTGGGAAATAATGTGATTTTTCTGGCTACCAGGTGGCCTCAAAGCCAATTCTATGTTTGTTATACAAAATTACTCTAAGGTCACCAATGTGTGAAGTGCAAAATCTTTAAGTAATGCAATTATGAGGTTTTCAATAGTATGCCTTGAATCTTTGAGCACTACCCAGAATTTTTTGTTTGACCTTTTAATAGTCAACAGTGATGTTACTCATTGATATGGTCAACTCTGTTTGAAAGCAGTGCTTTACTAAAACCACATGAAATGTTACATTTCGTCAAGAAAAACAGCATTGTCATCCATACCTTCTTTGCAATCATGCTTATTTTCATGCAGCACAAATCCATTACGGCACTGGCACATGTAGCTTCCCATTGTGTTGACACATTCATGCTGACACCCGCCGTTATCCTTAGAGCATTCGTCTTTGTCTGGCAAACAAATAAACCCTACAGTTTAGCAAGTGGCTTTAGAAACAAAGCATATCAAAAGAGGTATTTAGTCATAATTAATATTAAGCTGGCAAAGGGTAAACTAAGTCACAGCTTTTCCTGTTTCCAACTTAAGACAAATAAAAAGTATAGTGCCTTAGATTTACTCTTTCCTTGTTTAGCTTGGGGCCTTGTATATGTTGAGTTTCCAAGATCATTTGTGCCAGGGAAACAACTTGTGATCCTCCTGTACTTCTGTGATGGAGTAGAAGTGTTGAGTAAGAGAAAGGATATCAACAGATCCTTGTCCAATTGATCTTATACATTTATTGCCAACTTTAAAATTGTGAGTTTAAATAAAGGCAAAAAATGGCATTTAAGTGGAGGAAAACCCTTCGGTGTAGTAACCATGGTGTGCAGACAGAGGCTAAACAAGGTTCCAAGATTTGTATGTAATCACCTTTTTAAAAAAATCACTCAGTAGGATGACTTAGATTTTTTTTTTTCATTAACGTCAAATTAATGAATCTGGACATTTTATAACATTCCAAGATAGAAAAAGGCACCATTAGACCATCCTAAAGAAGAAACTCAATTTATGTATTTTAAACAGATCTACTCTGGCAGACCAGTTTATTAACAAGTAATCCCCTAAAAGGGTGGTTTAGTGTGCTAGAAGAAAAATAGAGGTTAGAGTGGGAAATATGAGCTTTAAGAAATAGCCAGATAATTCATGACAAGGAAAAAAGCCAAACTAGATGAACAGAAAGTCAATCCAGTGAGAGGCATCAGCTATTGCATTATGCCATTCAGCTGCCCTTCCATGGCTGGATAGTCCATTAAAGCGAACCTGGCAGACTTCTGACACTCACATATGTTGTCTCACCACTAAGACCTCTCCCTCTACACAGAGAGAACAAAAGGGGTGCCTTACAGTCAGATCAGGGCTTGGGCTGAATTCAGAGTTGACATGTTCTGCTGACTTTTCTACTGAGAACTGGAGAGCTCAGGGTGGCATGCAAAATACACTGTTTTTGCTCTGTGTGTGTGTGTGTGTGTGTGTGTTTAATCAAATCAATATTCACACTATGGAGAAAGGTTTAGAGATGGTATTTTTATCAAGTAATCCTATAGTACTCTTTGAAGTTGCAGCTATTTTTCTACTTTTGGAGGTTCACTGCATGACAAACCCATACATATTTACAGGATACAGCCCTGCACTGACAATACTGGAATATTTCAAATCCATACAAGCAATTTCACAGATCTTAAAGAAGATATCAGAATCCATATAATTAGGGTTTAGTGTTCTCCATCTGTTCTTGACACCCATTACTCTTAATACTGACTATGGATTGCTTCTTGGCCTTCTGGCTAAGAACAAGTGTAACACTGACTATGGAGACTAAGACAACACTGACTATGGAGACTAAGAAAAAATGTTTATGAAGTGGAGGAGAGAAAATTATTCCCTAAAAGAACATCAAGTAATAAAATGTATAAGAAATCAGAAGGTAAGAGAGGATTGGTTTGTAAAATTGACTTTAGAGTAACTGATCATAATTTTGAACCCCTATCCTCTTAACTGTATCAACAATGCAAATTATGGTTTATGAATTATGAACGTCCCATACCGAAGGGCTGGATGGTAAACCACACTTCCTAACACCACGGTGTCAGCTCCTGTGCTTTCTAATTCAGGCAGTCGGGCAGTAAATTATTGAAAGTTATTATCTTACTGTGGCTTCCCAGAGACTCTGTACTTAAAAGCTTTAGCAAAATGTTTCCTCATGAGTGACTACAGAAAATAAACCTTTTTTTTTTGTTCAATGCAAAGAACCAATAAAGAAATTCCTGATGCCAGAATTACCCTGAAATAGACATATATTTCCTATGAAAATGTTTATGTAATGGTGGTTTTATAGATTTGAATTAAGACCGGAGAGAGTGAACTTTAGCTGTATTGTGGGTCAACTAGGCTTTTCAGAGTGGTTCAGAAATGCAACCACCATTAGCTCACATTTGCCATCAACTGGTAATGAACCAGTGAGCATTGACCAATGCACAGCACAGGGACCAACCCTGAGGAGGTAAAGGCATCCACACACATAGCCCTGCACTGTGGCATAGTGGGCTAAGCCTCTGCCTGCAGTGCCGGCATCCCCTGTGGATGCCAGTTCATGTCCTGGCTGCTCCTCTTCTGATCCAGCTCTCTACTATGGCCTAGGAAAGCCATAGAAGTTGGCCCAAGTGCTTGGGTCCCTGCACCAATGTGGGAGACCCAGAGATAGCCCCTAGATCCTGGCTTCAGATCTTGGGGAGTGAACCAATATGTGGAAGACCTTTCACTCTGTTTCTTCCTCTCTCTGTCTGTAGCTCTACTTCTCAAACAAATAAAATAAATAAATAAATACTGCTCACATCATGCTTTTTTCAGCCTCCATTTGGAATACCATGCATGACAGATACAAAAATGTCAAATACAAACATTAATGTGTATATTATCCAGTAACACATATATTACTGCTCAGTGCTTGAATACAAACTCACATTACAATGAAAACAATTCTAACATGTAAAATATTACATGTAAAGTATGCCTAACATCTAGACATTCTAATTCCAATGTCATTTAACTAGGTAATATTTCTATTTATAATTATTTTTATTTTGTAAGTTTTTATTTTTAAAGATTTTTTGAAAGGAGAGTTACAGAGAGGCAGAGGCAGAGAGAGAGGAGAGAGAGGTCTTCCATCCACAGGCTCACTCCCCAAATGGCCCCAAGGGCTGAAGCTGGGTGATCTGAAGCCACGAGCCTGGAGCTTCCTCTGCTTTTCCCACGTGGGTGCAGGGCCCAAGGACTTGGGCCATCTTCTACTGCTTTCCCAGGCCACAGCAGAGAGCTGGATCAGAAGTGGAGCAGCTAGGACTTGAACAGAAGCCAACATGGGATGCCAGCACTGCAAACAGCGGCCTTACCTGCTACGCCACAGCACTGGGCCCAGTGCTAATAGTTGATAGCATATAAAGTGACCTGTGACAATGGTAACTAGAGAGAAATACAAGTGAAAGAAAAATCAATTCTATCCTTTGTAGCCAACTATTAAAAGTTCCGATATGCTGGGAAAATAATAAATTTAAGATAATTTTTGGAAAAGCAAGAATGGAAAGGGAAGAAAGAGAATAGGAAGAGGAGGAAGAGGAGGAGAAATAGAAGGGGAAGAAACTTTATCACTTTTATAGTCATTATTGTCCACGTATGTCATTTGTTACTTTCCTGGTTTGTCAGTGTTTTCCTACCTTCACCCCCATATATTATTCTGTCTAGTTTAATCAAAATCACATGAAAATTAAGATTCATTAGGGCCCTAGCATATACTTATGGGTTACTCTAAATTTTAGCTATCCAGTTTAAATACCGTTAGAAGCAGCAACGCAAGTTATCATGTCTAGAAAAAGTATCATGCGAAACTACCTCCATGTGTCAGACATACAAAAAAAGAGAAAATTTCAGGAAATCAATGGATTACTTAAAATTATCCAGATGTTTGACATCATCATGCCCCCCAAAAGCTACATTTTTAACTTAATAGCTTAAGATGTCTCCGAGTTTAGAACAGAGCGTAGTGATTTGAAGACTACTTTTCAAATTAAAGGGTCTGCAATTTTGGATCATCCACAGTGATGAGAATTAAATACATCATAAAGAAGAATGCCGTAAGCATTTTCTAGACTTCTTAGTTATGGAAGATCATCAAACTAGGGAGGGAAAAATTATCAGCAGCATGATGGAGCTTTGCTTTCACTTCTCTTTCCTCCTTGTAGGACACAATCCCTACAGACCTACTGACAAATCCAAATCCAAGGAGAGTGAAGGTTCAGTTTTAAATGTTTCTCATAATGTCTGCATGATACACTCAATAATTGAGAGCTCTATCAATAATTCATTTGAAATTTTCTAGCATTTTCATACAGTAGACACAAAAAGAAAGGACATTTTTTATTAGTGATTGAGAGAAAAAAATGTTCTGTTAAAGAGAAATAAAAATATTTCTATTAATGGAAATGGTGCCCTCCCTGGGAAGGGCATATCTGCTTCTCATTTCTCCACGTTAGATGAAGAGAAGGCTCGCTATTAGGAGGCACAGGGGTGGCGTTTTCCTATCAGAAGCCTGCAGCGGGCCTGTGAGACTCTCAGAGGTCATTGGTCTATGAATAATACATACTGGACGGAACTGAAGTGGCAACCTGTCTCAAGTTCTTGCAAGATTCAAAAATAAAAATTTTCTCTGTGCAGAAAGTTTTCTTATCTGTAGGAAAAAAAAGAAGCATATGGTCCCCGCAACACAACAGGAACATCCATGAGGGAATAGTCTCAAACTGAATGTTCAAGATAAGACGCAGATAAATGCCTGCCCATGGATGCACACATAAGGCGGCACACACAGTTCACCACAATCCTATGGAATAAATAATCATCTTCAGAGAAGCACTAATAAACTAATGAGAGCTTCCAGAGAGACAGTTTGCTGTTTCCATAAACACACGAATATTGACATTTCATTCCCAGTGAAAACTTGGAAGGAGGATTCAAAATCATGTAGGAAAGTTGCAATCCTGTCACTCTTTGTAACTTATTGCACTAATATTTAAAGTTTGATTAGAGTAACATCAGGTTGACTCTCCCCCACAAATATCAACACACATACCATGAGAGACGTGATGAACGTTTGTGAAAGAAATAATTATACACAGTTTAAGGCAGGTGTGACGAGGAGCCTGTAGATGGAGTCGCTGCAATTTACTGGTAGAAAACAGCAGCCTCTAAACTATTTTGTCTGACTCCTACATTCATTGCAGACAGAAATAAACTGGGAGTCAGGAATCCTGGGTTTTATTCCACTTCTGCCAATGAGCAGATCACTTAGTCCATCGGTAATAGAGTGCATTCTCATAAAATTGATCGCTGAGGGAGAGGCCTATTAAATTAGCTTTATATT